CCCGCCTTTGCCCCACAGTGTCTGAGCAACACCCCCCCGCTGACGGAGTACTTCCTGAAAGACAAGTACACGGAGGAGCTGAACGAGGACAACCCGCTGGGCATGAAGGGCGAGATCGCCCGGGCCTACGCCGAGCTCATCAAGCAGCTGTGGGCCGGAAAATACAGCTACGTCACGCCCAGACCCTTCAAGGTGGGGGGGGGGGGCACCGGGCCATGTTTCCTATCGTAGCTTAGCTAAAACTACACTAAATCGAACACCGGGCCATGTTTCCTATCGTAGCTTAGCTAAAACTACACTAAATCGAACACTGGGCCATGTTTCCAATCATAGCTTAGGTTAAAAAAGCTAGCAAGCTAAGCTACCGTTAGCTTTAACTGTAGCACCAGTATCCACCAGAGAGGCCTGTGATATGAAAACTCTCCCTTTAATGACTTAAGCCAGGTGAACACCGGGCCATGTTTCCTATCATAGCTTATCTAAAAAAGCTAGCAAGCTAGGCTAACGTTAGCTTTAACTGTAGCACCAGTGGCCTGTGATATGAAAACTCTCCCTTTAATGACTAAAGCCGGGCGAACACTGGGCCATGTTTCCAATCATAGCTTAGCTAAAACTGTTCCAAATCCTAGGGTCGTAGAAATTTTTTTTCTGGGAGATGAGGGTCTATGCTACCACCACCTTAATCTGTTCAACAAACTGGAAGCAGTTCATAAAACGAAGGAGGTTTTTTCTGGTAATCAGAAGTTTAGAAGGAAAAAAATATGATATGAAAACTCTCCCTTTAATGACTTTAGCCGGGCAAACACTGGGCCATGTTTCCAATCGTAGCTTAGCTAAAACTACACTAAATCGAACACTGTGCCATGTTTCCAATCGTAGTAATTGGATGGTAATCCACTGGTAATCGGAGGAAACGACTACAGAGTTTAGAGGAAAAAAAATATGATATGAAAACTCTCCCTTTAATGAATAAAGCCAGGCAAACACTGGGCCATGTTTCCAATCGTAGCTTAGCTCAAACTGTACCAAATCGTAGAGTCATAGAAACTTTTCTTCTGGGAGAAATCAAACCAAATCATAGGGGTCAAAGGTCACAGCTCACCATGAGATCTGACCTCACATCGTACGTCCAAAAACGCACGTCGGACTTAAAATAGAGGACGAAGTCAAACAACACAGTGGGTTAGGAGATGCTAATGCTAAGGCTTCTTATATTATTTTAAACCTGTGAAAGGCCATACAGGTGTTTACAAAAAACAGAAAACAAAACACAAATAAAACATCTAAAAAGGCCAGAGGGGCGAGTTAAGCCTGGTGGTAAAACCTTAAGATGGACCAGCCCAGAAGCATCAACACGAGGCATCAAGCTCTTCCATAACCACGGCCTCCAGGTCAACCTAACCAGGTTTGGCTCTTAACCAGATACTGGGAATTCCCCCAGTAGCTCACAGACAATTTCACCATCTTTTGGGAGGCTTTTTTTTTTATAGGCTACATTGATCGCTAAAATCGGCCAATGAGGAGCCAGCTTCCCAAACCCTGACAGAGCTATCTACAGCTCTGGTTCTGACACTATGACTGGGGATGATTCATTACGTTTACATATCAGTAACGAGTAACGATTCAGCCCGTGAAAAAAGTATTAAATGAATCAAAAATATGTAGTGGAGTAAAAGTGAAAGTATTAAATGAATCAAAAATATGTAGTGGAGTAAAAGTAAGGGCGGCACGGTGGTGTGGTGGTTAGCACTGTCGCCTCCCAGCAAGAGGGTTCTGGGTTCGAATCCCGGGGGAACCAGGACCCTTCTGGGTGAAGTCTGCATGTTCTCCTGTGTCTGTGGGTTCTCTCCGGGTTCTCCGGCTTCCTCCCACAGTCCAAAAACCTGCATGTTAGGCTGATTGGAGATTGGGGAAATTGCCCTTAGGAGTGAATGCGAGTGTGGGTGGTTGTTTGTCCTTGTGTGTCTCTGTGTGGCCCTGTGATGGACTGGAGACTGTCCAGGGTGTACCCTGCCTCTCGCCCGTTGACCACTGGGATAGGCTCCAGTTCCCCCCGCGACCCCAACAGGGAATAAGCGGTATTGATAATGGATGGATGGATGGATGGATGGAGTAAAAGTAAAAGTATTAAATGAATCAAAAATATGTAGTGGAGTAAAAGTAAAAGTATTAAATGAATAAAAAATATGTAGAGGAGTAAAAGTAAAAGTAGGGGAAAGGATATATACTCCAATAAAGAACAGATACTTCCTGTTTTTTTTTTAAACTTTAGTAGCCCTACCTCGTTAGTGTAGATCTCTGTGTGGAGGTTTTTGGGGTGACGGGGGTCTCTGTGTTTAGACCCAGGTGGGCCGCTTCGCCCCGCAGTTCTCCGGCTACCAGCAGCAGGACTCCCACGAGCTGCTGGCCTTCCTGCTGGACGGGCTCCACGAGGACCTGAACCGCATCCGGAAGAAGCCCTACATCCAGCTGAAGGACGCCAACGGGCGGCCAGACAAGGTGGGGGGGCAGCCTGAGGGGCTTTGGGGGAGGGCTCCGAAAAGCTAAAAATCTGCAGAAAGCTAAGGAAGGCACCAGAAAACTGAAAAAGCAAAAAGGTCCAGAAAGCTGTAAAAAAAAAAGCTGCATAAAAGCTCCAGAAGGCAGAAGGCTACAAGAAGTTTAAAAACCTACAGAAAGCTGAATAAAGCTCCAGAAAGTTGAAAGCGGAAAAAAGCTCCAAAGCAGCTCCAGAGAGCTGCAGAAAGCTAAAAAAAAAAGGACTCCTTTCAGGTGGTGGCCGAGGAGGCCTGGGAGAACCACATCAAGAGGAACGACTCCATCATCGTGGACATCTTCCACGGCCTGTTCAAGTCCACCCTGGTGTGTCCGGTCTGCGCCAAGGTGTCCGTGACCTTTGACCCCTTCTGCTACCTGACCCTGCCTCTGCCCATGAAGAAGGAGCGAACGCTGGAGGTCTACCTGGTCCGCCTGGACCCCCTGGCCAAGCCCACCCAGGTGAGGAGCCTCAAATAAGTCATATTTACAGTTTTGGATTCTCTCCGGAGGACGAGAGGCTGACCGCACGCTTCTGTTTTCTGTTTCAGTACAAGCTGACCGTGCCCAAGGTGGGATACATCTCCGACCTGTGCACCTCCCTCTCCGGCCTGTCGGGGGTGCCCGCCGAGAAGGTATCAGAGCATGTGTTAAAGTATAAAGTTATTTATCTACTTACTTAGTTGTCAGACTCATGTTGAACAGGGATTTACTCTGATAACAACTTAATGGTTAGGACACAGACCTGTGGGTTAGGAGATGCTAATGCTAATGCTAGTGTGGGATCGGACTTTTAAAAAAAAAACTGGATCGGAAGTCTGGATCTGCATTTTTTTTGCAAATATCAGCATCTGATCCAGATATTGTATCTGGACAAGCCTACTCTGGCCTATAGCGGGGGGGACCTCTGGCCTATAGATGTCCCGATCCAGCTTTTTATACTTCCAATCCGATACCGATCCTGGCCTATCAGAGCATGTACTCAAGTTTAAAGTTATTTATCTACTTACTTAGTTGTCAGACTCATGTTGAACAGGGATTTACTCTGATAACTACTTAATGGTTAGGACACAGACCTGTTGGTTACAGATGCTAATGCTAATGCTAGTGTGGGTTCGGACTTTAAAAAAAAAACTGGATTGGAAGTCTGGATCTGCATTTTTTTTGCAGTTTCTCCGCATTTTTTTGCAAAGATCAGCATCTGATCCAGATATTGGATCCGGACAAGCCTACTCTGGCCTATAAAAGGGGCCTCTGGCCTATAGATGTCCCAATCCAGCTTTTTTCACTTCCAATCCGATCCGATCCCGGCCTATCAGAGCATGTATTCAAGTTTAAAGTTATTTATTTATTTTATTTATTTATTTATGTGAATAGGGACAAAGCACATTGAACATCAGTATAAAAACAAATGTAAATATGCCGGATTATAGCTACAAAGCTAGTTTTCATCCGTAGTTCCTAGGCAGGCAAATACATAAGAAAGAACATAATATATAATATACAACATAATGACAAGGAAATGTTAAGAGTTTAGTGGTCACATGACTGGATTGTTTTCATCCATAGTTTGATTTGAGCTCTAAAGATGATCAGTGTAGGGTCTCCCGTATGTGCAGAGGAAGACTGTTCCAGATGTTAGTGGCTCTCACAGAGAGAGTGTTTATCTAGTTACTTAGTTGTCAGACTCATGTTGAACAGGGAGTCTGAATAACACACACTGGTTGGTAAAGAGACACTGACCTGTTTATTCAGGGATAAACATAAAATACACTCAAATATAAATAATTAAGTAAGTAAAGTTTATTTACATAGCACCTTTCACAGACATCAAAGGTCACAAGGTTCTTCACAGAAGTGCACAATTATACATCAAGATAAAACAACAAAATGTAATAAAAACCATAACTACATAAAACAATAAAATGTAATTAAAACCATAACTACATCGAAATAACAAACAGATATGGCATCAGTGAACAGTAAAAAGTGACAATAATATTGTAAAATGTATTTAAAGGCAAAACACACAAACAACCTGATATAAAATTGTCTATTAACTCTGTTTTACATCCAGCTCTTGGTCTTTATCGTCCTTAAGGATAAAATAATCCCACACAGTTGATAGCTGATACCAATAGCTTCAAATTAACCTGGTTAGGACACAGGCCTGTGGGTCAGGAGATGCTAATGCTAATGCTAATGCTAAAGGGTGTGCTTGAAAATGACCGGATGGGATATCAGGGACCAGCACAGCAAAGAGGAATGGATTATTTTAATCGGTGTGCTGGAAAACACGGGTCTGGACGTTCAGAAAGCTGATTCTCTGCTTCTCTCCTCCTCCAGATGATTGTAACCGACATCTACAACCACCGATTCCACCGGATCTTCGCCACCAACGAAAACCTCAGCAGCATCATGGAGAGAGACGACATCTACGTGTGAGTCTGGAGTCCGAATGTTCTGAGCTCAAACCTGAGATTTAAGCTGTAAATCATCATATCTCTGAGTCAGAAGGCCTTTTATTGTCATTACACAACAAGATTAAAGTCAACTCAAAACAGGACGGAAGTGTCCAGATATCAATCAGCAAAAATATGTATGGTATAAACATTAATAGGTGCACAGTCCTGGGTGGATGTGCGTTGCAAAAATAAATATAAAGCTATAAAAATAGTAAAATATATGTGTGTAAATATTTCACATTGTAGTGTAAAAAAAGTGTTGCACATTGTAGGGTAGTAAAAATGTCAATATTGCTTATTTTAGGGTGGAAAACTGTAAATATTGCACATTGTTGGGTAAGAAAACTGTAAATATTGTTTTTATAGGGTAGAAAACTGTAGATATTGCAGATTTCATGGTAAATATTGTACATATTGGCTTAAGAAAACAGTAAATATTGCACATTGTAGGGTAAGAAAACTGTAAAAATAGCTTTTTTTAGGGTAGAAAACTGTAAATATTGCATATTTCAGGTTAAAAATTGTAAATATTATACATATTAGGTTAAGAAAACAGTAAATATTGCACATTGTAGGACGGGATATTAAATCTGAAGGCCCTAATTTAGGATTTAAGGTGTGAGCTGGTGGGAATAAGCTAGTTTAAGTCTTCTTTTTTTTCCCATTTGAGCTTTGAGGTGGCGGTGAACAGAGTGGAGGACACGGACCACGTGGTGATCCCGGTCCACCTGAGGGAGAAATATAAGCAGTCGGGATACAACCACACCAGCACGCCGCTGTTCGGCCAGCCCTTCCTCATCGCCGTGCCCAAA